AGTATCACAGCCAAAGTCCTGATACCAAAGATGAAGGAAAGGGAATCACGTTCTGCAGCAGGGTTTACCAGCAGGTAAGCACTAAGATCCTATGATGCAAGGTTCTGAGTGGCCCTTAATGCCCATTGACCTGTTTCTACTTACATCACTGGGGCCAGGAGTAGCCTTGTTGACTTCAGTGTAAGTTGAGCTTCACTTTCATCTCCCAGGACTAGACTCCATAATGGTAGCAGTTGCAGTATATTCTTACCCTATAAGAACGTCCCATCATATAACCCGTGATTCTCAACACAGCAAAGGAGATCAAAGGTAGCCCTTAGTTGCATATTGGTCAATTCCCTTTACAGTCTACTGGGAGTCTGCACATGCATAAGAGCTGCAGGTTTGGGTCTAAAATACTTAACAACAAGAATCCTTTTGTATTCACCTCCTGAAATGTTCCTGGTGAGTAACCCATTTTCTGAACAGCTTCTAAATCTGTTTTGAAATTTCAAGAAAGGAGACAGCGTACATAATTGACAAAATGCAGTGTCATGGTTACAGTTGATGCAGCAATAATTCTGGGAAAAGATGCTGTAAAAATAAACCTTTGCAATGTTGAAATATTTCTTTCTTTGTTTCTCTGCAGCTGGTGCACTAGTGGTCTTGAATGTTAAATTGCACCTTCTCTGCTGTTTGTTTTAGTACACTACTGTGTTTGAGGGGGAAAGAAAAATGTTTTTTTCGTTTACTTTTCCCTACTTAGCCTCTGCTCCTTCCTTTTCATGCTTTGTGTTCATTAGCTATTTGGCCACAACACTAAGAAGAGTTTCTTATGGTTTGGACCACAGTAGGATAGATTCTGATCTAATTTAAACCAGTGTGAATAATGAGTTATTCCACTGAAGGTTGAAGTCTTCAGTGGGTTTAAACTTCTGTAACTGAGATTAGAATGTAGCCCATTCTCTCTAATATGCTTCATTCCACCTTTGCAGTTTGTTTATATTTAGCCCAACAGCTGAACTGCAATGTTTAAAAATACTGGTACAAAATAACTGTAGGCTCCCTAGTCTTTGGTACAAAAAGTGGTTTGCTTTTCTTTCATTTTAAGTATGTAAATAAAATAGAAAGCACTAAATATATTTGCAGTTTATGCTCGGACAAAACAAAGTGAAGCTTGAAGAATGGGGGAAACTGACCACCTTCTTTGCACTGCTTTATGATGCATTTCGGGGGAGGCAGTCAGGTCTAGCGGTTCAGGCACTGGATTGGGAGTCAGGAGACCTGGCTGCTCTTCCTAGCTTTTAGTAGTTGTACTGTAACAGATAATTATAGAAAAGATTTGTTTCAAACATTTACAAGCACACGAAGTTTCTCACATTTCTGAAGATGCTGCTTTTGGAAGCTTCCCATGAAGACTTTGAACATTAGAGAAGAGGGAGACAGATTTGTCTCTACTGCTGCTGATTTGAAAGGCCTGCCTTTCCATCCACTAGGTCCAAATGTAGTGCCTTCCTCTGTTGAAATTCCAGTTGTGTCTGTGACCATAGGACAGGAATCTAACAAATCTGATGTTCAGTGCAAGTGTGTGATACTTGAGATATTTGAAAGCTCTCGCATACAAGATATCCCTCCTCCCCAAATGCCAGGCTGTGTTTAATAAAGGACACAGCACTATCAAGATTGCTCAGAAATGTATTTGTTTCCTTCTTAAAGGGGTTATTGTTGTGATAGCCATTTTATGTCTGATTGGTTCGTTGAAGATGTTGTTCAGGCTGTCGTAAGTTTCTGCTTAAAAAAGCTCAGAACAGTGTTTGATCCTCATTTGTTATGTTCTGTACAAAATACACATTGAATATGAAAACTGCAATGGTTTTACAGCTATGTGCCAACAACATCAAGTTTTACATTTTGATTTCTAGGTCCTGATCCATTGAGGTCAATGGAAAGACTCAGTTTGATTTCTTTCTGGTTGAAATCTGTCACAGAGGAGGATCCTTTTAAGATATTAGTGTTGTTTGTTTAATAATATCTATTGGTCCCTCTGCACTAAGGCTTTTCTTGTGAATCATTTGCTTTATGCTGGATTTCAAGAGGCAGAAATAATAGCATAACATAGTATAGCAGCCTCATGTATCAGAGACTCTTGAGCCAAGAAAGTACCGTATCAGGGTGTAAGAAAGAGTTAAAATACTAGTTTTATTAAATATGCAAGTTAGCTTACAAATCATGTTTCTTCAAACTTATGTAGGCTTGTTCTGCCACAGGAGTAGTGTCCAAGTATGTGCTGATGTACGATGTGGGTGGAAAATGTTTGCCTGTGCATACACAAATGTTTGCATGCACAACAGCTGAAATTTATTGAGGTCCTCAATTTAACACAACAGTAGACTCCATTAATGCTTCGACCCCACAGCATTTCCAAAATGATAGTATACCAGTGAATTGCCAAAAGTAATTTTCTCCTGTTTATCCCCCTCTCCTTCATTTCTAAGAAGGATTATTAAATGTTTTGGGATCACCAGAAAGGCACATGCAGTAAAAATAAGGACATTTCTCTCAAAATCTAACTCATACAGGGGTATAAATGACATGGATGGTTGTGCCCCCAGTAATACAGTGGTGCCTTGTGTTGCCTCTGAAAGCAATTTCCATGCTGGCCAGTGGTGCAAAAACAGGTGCTGGGGATTTCCCTCTGGCCATTTAAGCCACGAACACAAATCCTTTGCACTGCCAGAGCACCACAAAGTGGCCAGAGGGCACCAGAGAATCAGGTCTGCTATTTCATCTTGGACTTTTGTAATGCTTCAAAGCAGAAACAAGTTAGTTTTCTACGGAACTGGTGCCCAAAGGTTACCCATTCATTCTGATAGGAGGACAATATGAAAGGTCTTTCATTTAAAATGAAGGTCCAAAAGATGTATATGTATCCTGGAGTTTACCAGCAGGACCTCATGGTTATGAAATGTGAAGTATGGGTTAATGTCTTTGAGTTACTGAAGTGTAATATTTAAATGAGGAAATAGTTTGTGTAATATGCCAAGAATAATTGAACATACTGTCCTCCTATCAGAATGAATGGGTAACCTTTGGGCACCAGTTCCGTAGAAAACTAACTTGTTTCTGCTTTGAAGCATTACAAAAGTCCAAGCTGAAATAGCAGACCTGATTCTCTGGTGCCCTCTGGCCACTTTGTGGTGCTCTGGCAGTGCAAAGGATCTGTGTTCATGGCTGAAATGGCCAGAGGGAAATCCCCAGCTGGCATAGAACCACCATAATGTCTTCTGTGTAAGATTTAAAGAAAGGGTAGCAGAGGACGAAGTGCAGCTCCCCCTTCTCTGCTAAAAGCAGATGGGAATTCCTCCTCCTGTCCCACGCTTGAAAAGAGCTCTGCGCGCACACAGACCCCAATTTCAATCTATTTAATTTCTTGTCTGCCCCCTGTAGCTAGGAGCCAGGGAAGGGTGGCAGAGAAGAAATAGTTGGGGAGTTAAGAGATGCTCTTCCAAGTCTGGGATAGGAGGAGGGACTTTCATCTGCTTCTAGCAGACAGGGGGACTGCACTTCTTCCTTTGCTTCGGTGTAGGATTTAAAGTAAGGGGAGCAGTTGGGGTGTGTGGCCATGGGATAGAGAGAAAAGAGGACATGGCCAGGGCTGGAGCCAGCCCCCCCCAGGCCCCATATCAGGTAGCTGCAAATCCACCTTTGTTGTCCCACCCTAGACCTGTACTGACCACAGCATGGCTAAGGCAGGGTCTTGAAGATGTGTTTCTACCTTTTGAGGTGAGACAGTAAAGAGATCAGGATTGGTGTTTATTGCCTCTGCTGCCTTCCAGATCAAATTAACTTAGTGTAGATGCATAAATATGTTTTCCAACTCCCAGCCCTGAAACTCAACCTGGGACCTTAAAGCCAAGCTGAGTTATTTCCTTTGTATGCATCACCACCAGTAATAGATTTGCAGGCCAAATTCTGCATTTAATTACATCTCAGTAAAATATTTCTATTTTATGCTGCCTTTTACAATGCCCATCTGGAACTATCTGCAGAACTATATCAAATATCTCCCATGGCCCACCTTCCCCATTACTGTGAGAAGACAGCCAATAAATGATGGCAAGACTGAGGGACAAGTGAATGAAATTGCCACTGTCTCTAGAATTGTGTGTGTGTGTGTGTGCGCACACAAAATATATCTGTCTGTAGCCCCTGTCCTCTGATCCTTATGGTATTGGATTCTAACTTCTTTTGCACAGGGACAACATCTTCATATATAGCACACTCATCCTCTGAGCACTATTTTAATACAAATATTTCAAGAATAATTTATCCCAAGGCTTGTAGAAACATTACACGGGAATGCAGATGCCTACCTGCTTCCTTATAGATTTAGGAAATAATCTACCACATACCTACAGTTTTGCTTCAGTCTTTCCAAAGGGCCCAATCCACCTTGACTTAACTGGGAATTTTGCCGGAATAAGGACTACATGATTGGGTCTTTTTAAGTGTAGAAGGAATATTGAAAGTTAATGAAGAATGGTGACCAGAATAAAGAGCTGGATACAAGCCTTAGGAGGCAGCCTCACTACTCATTCTCTAACATGCATCGCTGCATGGAGGGTGACAGAACAGTAGTAAATCTCCTATTCCATAGCAGAGAGGGAAACTTTGTTCCAGGCTTAGATACAAAGCAAAAACAAAGTCTTGTTAATGCATTAGACCATTCCAAGGAGTTGCAGTGTGGCAAGGGGAGAACAGGACACCTTTTTTAAAAGGCGGTATTAATTTATTCTTTCCTGCACGTGCAACAAAATCATTTAGAAAATACCCTTTTATATAAGGGTGCCTTAGTTCCAGCTGATGCTCCCTCCTTAAACACGCTCAAGACTTCCTAGCTTTTAGTTATGTCAAACCTTAATTTCCTAATATTTAATGTATAGAAACTCTTTGTAATCCACACTTAAGTAATTTCTTCTTTGCTTGTGTGTGTGTGTGTGTGTGTGTTTTTTTTTTTTAAGTTGTACAACTTTGGAGAAACAGTTTCTGTAGTTTTCTGGACGGATACGTGGAAACCGGAAAGCTTTTTTGACAAGATTCAGAAGAACAAGCAGAATGGAATGCACACGCTGTGCTTACTTGGTAAGGGTCATCTGTCTTTGTTCTGTAATCACTTTCTTGTACAACATCCAGAGGCTATGGTGATAAATGTAATAAATTTAGAAGAAAAATGTTTTTAATTGAAGAAAATATACCAAAAATTGCATCCTTTGTGTATTGTTTTTGTGAATTTAGAATAGCTTTACTAGCCCTATCTCGTTTCACTGTGGCCTGCGATTTCTAAAGAGTAGAGAAATCAATAAAACCCTGTGCTTCAATAGAATTCAACAAGGATCAGAGATCCACCTATGCTGTTAAAATGCAGTATGAGTTTAAGGACAAGTGTATCTCCTGTTCAAGATCCAAATCAGGTTGCAGTAATTAGCAAGTGTCATTTTACTTTAGTAGTTTAGACCTTAATAGACTTCATCTTGGAAGAGGCATGTCGTATTAGCCAAATTTGTTGTATTTGATTAAATGATTTTCATCTTCTAATATAACATTCATTAGTCTGAAGACATTTACACAGTGACAAGGTTACATTGTAATATACAAAAACACTGTAAAGCAAGGATCTAAAACAGATGACTGATTTTAAATTAGCAACCTCCTCAGTAGCTCACATTGTTTTGTCTGATCTTTTTATTTACCCCTCTCCTGTAAATCCAAATCTTAAACACCAATGCTGGAAACACATAAGCCTGTGTATAACTCTAATAACATGATAAATAGTCCCATTGGCTTCAATGGGCCTGTTTGTGTGCATAAAATTACACACATGCTTAAAAGTGTGCAGGTTTGAGCCCTTGGTTTGTGACCACTTCAAGAAAGACCATTTCCGTGTCTCTTGGGCTGAGGAGGGAGCTGTCAGTGCTTAACAAATTCATAGTTTAAGTAAAAACATGCATTCTGTGGGCGTTGAAAGAACCTTAGTCTGGAGACAATTTAAATGTACAAGTGTCATTACACATTTGGCTGACTTTCCAAATGCACAGAAATGATTTCAGAGGTGGTTAAAATCAGATTTTTGGTAACTTTAAAGAAACTTTAATTTAAGTTCTATTATTACAAGTTAACAAACTTAAAGAAGGGAAGCAGGAGGGAGATTCCCTCCCCCCCCCCTTTTTTTTTGGTTCACTTACTCTGCATCTGTTAGCACTTAATGCTTTGCACGGTTTCTCATTTTGTGTTGATTTTAACATAGCAGCATTGCAAAACCACAAAGTTCGGTGGGGTGGGGAGGAGAATTCATGGCAGGTATGGGAGTTAAATCTAATTTTAAGTCACATTTGAAACCTGATAATTTCAAAATAAGCGTTCCTTTAATACCACTTGGTTGTGGTCTATTTTAATTGATTGTTTAGTCAAATTACATTAAAGGATATTTCACGAATGAGTAAAAGCAAAATACAGAAACAGTGCAATTAGAATATGGTTCTGGTTTGGAAGTACTGTAACTTTAACTTATGATAAATTGTAGCTGTAGTTCCCACATTTTTTGTTAAAAGGCCAGGTTATGCACAGATCTTGTTATAAAAACCTTTTCCTCATAATTTCCTTGGCAGAAGTTGATGCTAAACTCTGAACAGCTATTTTAAGACTGTAAAAATGCCCCAACTTTTACGGGTTTTGTACAGCTTTTTTGCACATTGAATTCAGATGTAAGATGAGTGATGTAAGTCTCCTGTCTATGTATTTGAGTGTAATGCACTAAGATTTGAACACCAACTCAAAAATTGGGACAGTCAGTACAAACTAAACATTCTACTGTTGAGTATATAATTTCCACTGCTCCATATTGTAGATCTTGAGTGCCTGTCAGAGATAATGCAGATGCCTGAGACTCCATAAAATTGCAGAGTTGCTCTGTATATAAAATACACATATCCAGAAATTATAGCAGGAAGGAACTGCTAATGAGTTGGGTTCCTGTGTGGTGGTTAAAGTGAATACTGTCCTTCAGTTATGCTGCTTTACCTTCCGACTACCGAGGTGCAACTGAACCTAGAATCTATGAATGAAGCGTGCAATATATCTGGCTTTCAGAAGCTTATATAATTAAATGTTTTAGAACAGTATCATTTTGAGATTTTTCAATCCTATGACAAATGTGCCCATCATTGTAGTACTTAAGCACTATTTTAAGGGCTGTTTTACATTGTTCTTATTTGCATTAGAATCCTAGAAGTAATGCAATCCCAGGTAAAACTTCATCTTTATAAAAGGAAAGGACAAGGGTTTTTCTTTATAATATATGAAGCTCAGAATAGAGCGGATACTACTTTGCTAGAAATCCACATTTGTAGTTCCTACAATAGCTAAAATATTGGTATACGAAAAGCAGAAAAGACCTGCTAATTTAAACTACTAATTAAGCCCTTACCCATTTAGACAATTAAGATGAGTGAGAAGATTACAGTACCTCTGATGTCTTTATTTGTGTCTAATAAATATAACTTTTATCCTGCAGACATAAAAGTAAAGGAGCAATCTCTGGAAAACCTGATGAAGTGAGTCACTATTTTGAAAATAAATATATTGTCAGCATGTTCTAATGAAAACTGATTGAAGATCCTTCCTCCTACTTAGTAATGCTGCACTCACCCATTCCTTAGATGCTCACTCGTAATGAAATAAAGCACTTAGGCATGGTCCTGCATTCACTGCAATAAATGGGAGTTTTGCCATTTATTTCAGTGGGATCAAGCCCTTAGTTTGCAGCAATTGCACACTAATTTTCGGTATTGTGTTCAGTAAACAGAACATTTTGTCTTAACTAGGTCCTTCTAGAAGAGGTGGTTCAGTGAATGAAATCTTATAATTGTTCAATCTTGCACAGTATAGTCTCTCTCCCTGAAGCAGATGAACGGCTGAAAACAAGACAGCACTCTGAATCATCTCAGTGCACTGTCCAGAAACTGCATTTGGAGTATTGACATTCCATTGTCTTAACACCAAACAGAAGTGTTTTTAATAGTGTTAGTTTAACTAAGGTCATTCAGCTGTCTCAAAGAAGTTTGTCATTTCTAAACCATCTTTTTATAACTGGGTCTATAAACTGTTGCTTCGAGACATGCTGTAACTTTTGGCCTAGACTCACATTCATAAACTTTTCTTGAATGTAGCTAGAATTGGCAAACTAGCTGAAATGTGTTTGAGAATAATTGAATATATTTCTGCTTTGTAATTATCTGCCTACATGATGATTGTTGGGAAAACGTATTGGATTATTTGAGTTTTGTTTTTCTAAAGTAAGTGCAGACCCTGTATAGTTTCCAGCAGTCTCACTTGAATCTTAAGATAGCAAACTATCAGCCAGATCATGACCTGCTGCTTTACAAGTGTGCAGGGAGCCCAGGGATTGCAATTGAGCTGAAATTCACCCTAACCCCCCAACCCCCAAGGCCTACCACAAAGCCTATGGATTACTTAAGCCACATGGGTTATGTTAAAGCTGAAATGTACCATAGAGATAATGGAATGAGAGAATTACAATAACCTAGTATTCTGGGTTTAATACTATTTGGCAAGGTAGTTATTACTTTAGTTTTTTTCTAACAGAGGAAAGAAGATTTATGAATCACCACGGTACATGAGTGTGAACCAAGCTGCAGAACAGCTTCTTGCCATTGTTCAAAATAGGAGGCTTCAAGGAGAAGAACCAGGTACACGTTTAATAGTTGTTTCCAGGTGCTAGTACTCCAGGCTTCCCCTTTCTCTACCTTTACTGAGGAGTCTCTACTACTGCTCTGCTCCTATTCGTTAGAGCAGCTCCTGACCTGAAGTGGAACTGGGCTACCTTCAACCCTAGTCAGCTGATCACAAGATGTGTTTGGCAAAGCCCAAGCTACGCTGCAGGCAGTGAGCACTGGTGAATGGAAGTTAGTGATTCCTGGAGGCATAGTCAAAGTCTTTAGTCTTGTTCAACTGGTACAGTTACCATAGTTTGAAAACCAGTGCTACCATTCATCTTTCCGTTGGGTCCCTCAGATTAAACAAGGGGAAGCTGTTTGAATGGATCAGAATGGAGCGTTTATTTACACCGGTTTTTAGAACTGTTAGAATATTTTAACATTGAGTTTCCCTTTAACTGTACTGTGAACCCCTTAGACAATTGTACTTCAAGATTTTCATATGATAGACACTTAGTCACTTCACTAGTTATTGGCCAAATTCTTATTTATCCCAGGCTAAATTCAGCTTAATTCCATTTATATAAGTAGGTTTGGAAGAATTAGATTTGTTGGTAGATGTCTTTTTCATCATATACACACAAGCTGACAGTTACATTGTCAATTTACAGATAAAGAAAAATGCTGCTTGAAGGTAGTTTGATTTAAAAATATTTACAGTGTATATTTTGACATATGTTGACAGTGTGAAGTTAAAGCTTTCAGTTTTTGAATCTCGGCATCAACTGTCAGACACTCCCCACAAAATTTTAAATAGATAAATAAAAAAATGTTTAAAACCCATAATTTTGTGAACTCTACAAATTGGAGAAAATGCTTAAACTACTATTGGTACGTCAGTTATAAAAAGAAAAATCAAATTCTACCATGTCTATATATTAGGTAGCTACTTCACATTTGTACTATTACTGAGAGCAGAGCTAAAACAAACCCCGCCTTCATTCACTTGTATTTCTATTAACATTTGGTTTGATTTTTATTTACAAGACAACATTTTAGAGCAAATCTCCACCATTATTCCTTTAGTAGTTTACTTCTCTCTGCTGAGGTCTGGAAGTAGGGGTGCGAAGTAAGGTAGTCTTCTCACCTAGACCAATATCCTGCTGCTGGCACTGACTGAAAGGAGGACTCACATGGAGAAGGGAACTAACTCCCCTCTATTGTGTATTTGCCACAGCCCATTCTAACTACTGTCAGCATGTAGCTTAGAGTACTCTATCTCCTCAAAATAACAGAATTCCATCTCACTTTGCAACAAAACTCCTGGCTTTAAAGTGTTAGATTAAAATCAGAGACTGGAAACTTGAGATTCAATGCTTTTGTAAACGTAACATACAATCATTACTTTCAGTGAAGCAAATACTGCTCAATAAAGAGATTGAATTTGCTCTCTAGAAAATGAAAGATGAATTATTTCCTGAAATTGCATTTTCTTTTTTGTAGAAGTTACGGAGAACACACTCTGTGTTGGCCTAGCAAGAGTGGGTGCCGTGGATCAGAAAATTGCTTCGGGCACCTTACAACAGATGTCCACAGTAGAACTAGGTGGTCCACTACATTCCATGATCATAGCAGGCAATATGCATCCTCTGGAAATAGATATGCTTAAGCTCTTTGCTATGGATGAATCTAGCTCTGAAGACAATGAATGCCAAAGGAACACTTGAATAAAGAGCCTTTACCTGTCCCCTGCTTTGTGGCAATTTTTAAAATTTAGTTTTTCCATCCTTACTTTAAACATACAAACAGCATAAGTGGACTTATACTCTGCTACCTACAACACTATGGGAGCATAAACATTCCCTCTAACATGAGTTCACATACTCTGCAGATGAAGACATGGTACTGCAAGGAAAGTGTCCTGCTAGTTTCAGGATCGCTTTTCAGGAAGTTTTTCACAGGTTTGAGCTCATCATGGTGAGAAGCTTCCCCTTCCTAGGGGCATCATGAATGCCAGAAGACCTACCCCTGGAGGGGAGGAATGGCCTCTGACTAGGCAGTGCAGAGAGAAGTTCAGATGAACCTGAGCAAGATGAACTGGGTATGTGTGTGGGGGAAAATAGCTCTGTGCACTCTACACCATGTGCACTGTCCCACTAGGACAAGGCGGACCTGTACCACATTCTCCAAATGAGGGAGAAAACAGGATCAGTGCTCTGCAAAACTTTGCTGTGCTTAGCTCCTGTCCTACTATACCATCCAAGGAATCACCTATGCCAGGGCAATCCAAGTAGCTGTGTAAGGGTTTGGGCTACCCTAGCACTCAAAGATGTAATTAATCTGGCCTATTGTGTGCAATTGGAGAAATGAATGTGGAAAGAAATTAACTGGGGGTTATGGGAAACAGACAGGCCTGTCCATAAACCCTACCTTAGAAAAGGGAATAAAGGTGAGAACGTTGCAGCCTAGGAATCTGTTGAAGTGGTGACTGTTAATCACCTGAAAATGGCAGGACTAGAAGAAGCCACATGGTTTGTGCCACAGGTTGGGAGGTAGTTCTTCAAAAATCAGCTCTACAACATGGACTTTCAAGATCCTTACTTGCCAGCTAGTCAAATCAGAAAATACACATGCAGGGTTTTTTTTAAACCAAGTTTTATTGAAAGGAAATTTGATCCCAAATCTTTTTCAAATACATCAGATGAAACGTTTTACTTAAACCATTCAAGTAGAAAAAAGATTACATCAAAATTTTTAATATTGCACTTGGGGCAAGTCATAATGGCTTAACTTCAGCACCCCCCAACCAAGTTATAGTATAGCGTCTCCACAATTTTATTTAGAATCAGCAGTTTCCTACTCAAACATTTGTTTATAATGTTCTAATACCACACTATTAAATTTAAGCACACCAATAAGAGTACTTCATGTATTTGAAAATTAACTGGAAAGGTGCAAACATTACTGTGTTGCTGCTAGGAATGGTTTTGGCAATTTTTTCATTCACATTCCTTCATGTGCTAGCCAGCCCCCTCAGTAGCTACAAATTTCAACTCTTGAACTAGATCCTGGCACATATTACCATCAAGGTTTTTTGTATATGTGGGAAGTGAAAAAATGCAAATTCCTTTACACAACAGTGCTTCTGCCAAACATTGTGTGCAGAGTAAAATTACCCCACAGGCAGGAACTTACACTTGAAGTGTGGCTCACTAAACCCGAAAGGTAGATTATTCTGTATTTGCACATATTGAGAGATGAATAAATATTTCAGTTGCTAGCAGATCCTAGGAGAATGACCTGCATCTTTTGACAGGTACTATAACAACCTCCTGCCTGTGAAGACCAGACATGGATGGTCACCAACACAAGGGCTTTGAGGAAAAGGGGAGTAACATAAAAATAAAAAGCAGAAAGAGGATCCATGGTCTTGGGGGTGGGGGAATTAACCACTGCAGGAGTGGGTAGTTCTATTGTATGCAATGCAGCATCCTATTAAGGTAGGGTCTGAGACCATCATATTTTGTTCTGCAAAACCAGTATTAACAGTGAGAGAACTAGGTTGAAGAAGCTCCTCTGTATCTTATATTATTCCTTTAACATCTAAAAGTCACACAGTTTAAAAAAAAAAAATCAGCTGTCATACCAAATACAATCGTAAGAGCTAATTGAAGAAAACAGGACAAGGTTGTTCAAGAATAAAGATGCTGATCTGAACTGGTATTAAAACAATCTTAGATGCATTTTAGGGTTCTCAGGCCTATTTAATACAAATTCAACATCTTTAAAATCCATTTTCTATTTCATACGATCCTCAGGGTCTCACATGACATCTGAATTATACAGTACCATAAGTCAGTGGGTGTGAAGGTACACCGAGCCGTGCACTGATCTGTCTTCCTTGTACGTTCTATTAAGCAATTTATATTAATAGGTAAAAGGCATATATATAATATTGAGGAACAATGCTATTCAACAGCAACTTCTCCAGGTATCTCATTTGCATCCCCACAACACATTGATAGCTAGCATCTGTGCTGAACTGGTGAGTATTTCCTTCCTTCCTTCTCTACTCAGATTTTTAATTCTTAAAAATTAAAAGTAACACAAATAACCTCAAATATAGTTAAAATAGTTAATCTTACTCAGTAGCACTAGCTTTCACCTCTGAGTTAGAATTCTGGATTCTGCTAATAGACAGGCTGCCTGTCTAAAACATTTTAGATTTTAAAATTTCACAGGTTAATGAAGATCGAATACCGATTACTGCAATAGTGCATTACAAAAAAGTATCAGAGGGGTAGCCGTGTTAGTCAGAAGTACTAGGTTCAATTAGTCTGACATGCTTATTTGTTGTACTAGTTTAACCCATAGTGTAGCAAGGATACTAGAGTTACTTAAGCTCCTCACTTGAGGCCCACTCACACACAGTGTGTAACTTTATTCATGTTTAACTGTTTATAGGATCAGACTGTAAACTCCAATAGAAGGCCTGTTTTCCGTCATGGTATGTTCAATACCAAGCAACATTGTAGGTAGTAATCTTATACACCGTTCTAGTAATGAGAGTCACTGTAGCACCTTGCCGTTATGTCTTCATAGAGAGTTAGATGAGATTTTGATGGTTATCAGGTTTGTCAATTAGAAAATGAAATTTAGCAAGTCTCCCCCTCCCAGTCACTCTTAAAATAGACCATCTTCTGCAGGGATTCAGGATGAAGTTAAGAGATTACTAACACCTCCATTAGTATATTAGAAGCAGAACCTAATGTCATTTGAAACAAAACAGTTGTAAGTAGTCCTTGATGGTTCAACGTTCAGGGGTTTATATTAGTCACATGATCTACAGCAGGGGTCGGCAACGTTCGGCACGTGG